ATGCTGGCGTGGCGGCTGCTCCAGCAGCAAGCCGAGGCGCGTGCTCACTTGCATGCCCCACTGCTCCTTGCCACGTGCCGCCCTGGCAGCAGCTCTCAGCCACCACAGGCATTTTAATGAGAGCTGGGCAGAGCCTGGCCTCTCTCAGCCCCCTCAGCCACCGGGAGCTTTAGCGGGGCAGAGGATCTCCAGCACGCGCACAGGCGCAAAACCCGGTGGTGGAGCTGCGGTCTGCCACAGAAGCTCCAGCAGCTGCACAGGGAACCGGTCTCTGAACAGCTCTGGCTGCTGCTCTTTAACACTCATTATAGGAGCAATGAGGGTGGGCTGTAAACCTCCTCTTTAATACCCCTGTCGGTCTCCTGCCAGTTCCCGGTGTGAGAGCTGGGAGTGAGGAGTGGGGTGCGGCAGCTGCTGGCCCAGAAAGGGTTTGCAGCTCCGGCTGTGCCTGTTCCCCTCCTCCTTGCTGCCACAAACTGATGGCACAGCAGAGTGACATGTCACCTCTTCTTCCCTGTTTCTTGATGAGGAGCCTTTGAGCCCATGATGCACATGGGAGGCTGGCAAACAGGACATGCCCCTGCTGCTTGGTGTGTCTCTTGGGGGATATTTAGGAGACTTATGGGGTTAGGGGTGTTCAAGAGACACGTGACTCTCCTGAAGAGCAGTTTTGGGGTGAGGCAGGTGCCCTGGGCAGCCCTTTTGCAGCCTCTTGCCGTCAGAGGGGCACAGTGTCAAGGCCAGAGCTGTTGGGTTGTTTCACAGGACTCTGAAGGAGGTGGTGAGTCCATGGAGCTGGAGATGAACGGGCAGTCTACAGCCATCAGAGCAAGACGAGAGGGTTTTCAAACCCCATCTCCACTTTACACCTCCAGCCTAGAAAGACAGCCTTGGTGCAGGGAGGGACATAGGGAGCAGCAGGGAGCTGGGATATCCTTGCTTCATGTGTCCCACACCTTCCTTTTATCGCCAGCAACATCTTCCCTAACATCTCATGCAGCTTAATGGATTGCAAATCCCTAAAGCTGGGGCTTACCACCAGAAGGAAAACAATGCCACACCACATCCCTGTCTCTAGCCAGGACTTTGTCACCTTCCCTGCATCATCACTGTTGCCCAGCCTTGGCAGAGAAGGGAACAGCTCAACTTGCAAGTGATAGATTTTGCCTGAGATGTTGTCAGTGACCCAACCATGAGTTAGATGTCCTCAGAGACCACCTGAAGGTGACAGCCAGAGCAGTGGAGGGGGGTCCCCAGGTGCATCAAGGTCCCAGCTCAGCAGTCCAACATCTCTGTCCTTCAGCCTTCTGATCTCCTTCCGTGTCCGTCAGCCCAGTGCCAGCGCCGGGGCTTTTTGTTCATTTTGATTACAGCCATCTCAGGGCCATACACACACAGTGGTGCAAAGAGAGACTGGCAAAGGGCATCCCCACTGTGCTGTTTGCTGCTCAAGGGGAGAAGTCACAGGGCTTCCCAACAGTTGCAGCAGTGCTGGTACCACAGGAACCTCTTCAAAGATGCTACTGGCATCTTCCTCCTGGGCTAATGAATGGGCTCAGGAAGGATTCCCAGGCAGTCTGCCTTCCCTCTGCAGCATCTGTTCTCCCAGTAAATCCAGTTTCACTGGGAGATTATCATAGATGTTCAGCTGGAAAATGTGCAGAGGTGAGAGCCTGGTAAAGATGGGGATGGGGGAGAAGTTGTGCAGTTTTTCCACCATGAGCTTGACATCACTCAAGGTTTTTGTCTCTGGGGGCATGGCTGAATGAACTCCTCAAAGCCTGGAGGATGATTTTCACCTCGTAGCCCTCACAGAACGTGCCTGATGCTGGTTCTTGGGTCTTCCTTCCTCCATCTTAAGCAGGAGCAACGAAGGCATCCCCACTTCTGTTCTGGTTTCCTTCTCTTCTGGTTCCTACTTCTCCTCCTGGGCACCCCTTTCTGCCTCGGGTAATTGGAGTGGGCAGGAAGACACTGTTTTTTCTAGGGAATGGTTTTGAGAGCCCTCAGGAGTGCTGGAGTCATGAGTGGTTCACTGGGATGTGCTGCACGAGGACTAGCTCCTCCCCAGCAAGCCCTCACCAGGCTAGAGGGGAGCATCAAGAAGAAACCAGAGATCCCCAAACACCCACTCCATGACAGATACAAATCCTTCCTGTAATTCCACACATGCCAAGAGAAAGGACACTCCTGGCACCAGCACTGTGAATAAAAAAGGAAAGGCTAGAAAGATCCAGTGCTACCCTGGCTCCTCACCTCACTGGGCTCTGCTGCTCTCTCCCAGCAAAATCTGGGATCCATGGCCTGTGACATAGAGTGGGGAAAGCCCAGGTATCAGCTGGAGCCCAGCCAGGGACAAATGCTGCCTTTGGGATTGTTTTGAAGAGCTGCTTTGCTTTCTGAAAATGAAAGGCATGCTGGAGCAGCCAATGCAGGGTGGGGTGATGTTGGGATGGTGTCGGGTACCCGGCTCCATCTCTAGGGTTTCCCCCAAGCCCAGGCTGCCCTCAGCAGCTGCAAGTATGGGGGAAATGAGGACAGGCAGGCTGGGAGCACGCCCGGGCTCCCGGACTCAGGGTTGAGGCTTTGCTTAGGAGAAGCGAGGTGAGCTGTGGGCATCATTTCAGGTGCTGGCATCCTGCGGTTGTGGCAGTCTGCCTGGGTAGGCACTGCAGCCGGGAGTGCTGCTGCCACCCTCTTGCAAACATCCCTACCTGCTTCACAACCCCCTCAACTCCTGCCTGGACTTCCCCAGGCAGGGCTGGCAGAGGATCTGCAGCTGGGTGAGTGCTGGCAGAGGTGGGCAAGGGGGAGAGAGCAGCATGCCCCGACCTGCTTGAACTATGAGATCACCTTAGAGTCATACAAACCCATACACTGCCCTGGGCAGCTCTCGATGAATGCAAGTGAGCACAGAGGCTGGAGACCTGTGGATCCCTGGGGCTGCGCTTGTGTGCACTGTGCTCCCCAAAAATGTTCGTTAAGAAAAATTCCCATGCTGTTTTGTGCAAGCCCAGGGGTCAGATCTGTGCCCCACACAAATCCAAGTGCTGCAGGCTTCCCAGGACGGCAACTGAAGCAAACACTTCCCCAAGGCATCAGTAGTGTGTGCTCAAGCACAGGGCAAAGCAGGGAGGTCGCACGTGTCCACACAGAGCTCTGGCTAGTGATTGATGTGTCTTGGCAATGGGGACACAGCACAGGGATGAGCAGTAACCAGAGCTATGCTGCACCTGTGCTGGGCCTCCTGCTTTTTCTCTGATTTAATGTCCCAGTTGAGAGGTGATGTCATTTCAGAGAGAGCCAGAGAAAAGGAAGTGCTGAAAAAGATAAGGTACTTTAACTCTACTCATGCTGGTTTGACTGAGTTTTGAAGCCAGGAGCTGTGTTAGCTGCCAGCCAGGAAAACATAAGAGAGGGGAGGAGAGAGATTTGTTGAAGGACACTTTTCTCTTGGGCTACTGGGAGCTGACACCTGGAGGTGCTGAGATAGAGGATGGTGGAGGACCTTGGATGTTCCCAGGTGGTGTGAGCATGATTTTGTGCACTGCTCTGGCTTCTCCATCACCTTCATCTCACAAACATGTCAGATGGGTTTTCTGCAGCACCAGTCATACCTCACCAGAGCCTGGGTGCCACAGCAGTAGGCAGAAAGGTGCTCCAGGAAGATCAGCAGAAATGCTGCCAAGATGCTGGAGAAGGTAAATGGAGAATATGCCAGGGCTGCCCTGCTTTTAAAGGGGACAGAGACTGTCTCATTAAAAGGTCTTGTCTAGCAGTGGAGATGGGACACGGCTTCCCATGGTGCTGAGTCCAGAGACTTGGATTTTCAAAAGGATCTTGTGGGGGCATCCTGGTCCTTCTGACAGTCAAAGGCGGTCAAGCCCCAAAGTCCTCTCTGCCCTTTGGGTGATGTCAGGCTGCATCTGCTCATTCACATGACTGGGAAAACCTCAAGGGAGGCTTGAGGCAGATATGACTCAAAGTCCCCTCCGTTGCATGAAGCTGCCACCCAGATGTCCTCAGCTGGAAGGGAGTGAGGTTAGGCCACTGCTAGCCAGACCTGGCTCTACCCTGGAGTACGGGATCAGTGAGTGAGAGCAAATCAGGATCACCGCTGGTCTTATGCAACCGTGCAGGACATGTGACAGCACTGGGGGTTTTCCAGCTCCCCAAGCTGCCCACCATGCAGGCTTGCTGCCCTGCTTAAGTGCTCTTTCCTCTTGAGCTGGCGGCTGGCTTTCAGGCTTTTGACCATGCCAGACACCATAACAGTAGCTCTGGCTGCCACATGCCACCTACTGGAACCTCAGCTGGGGGTTTTCTCTCAGCACTGGACTTCAAAATGCTCAAGCTGGATGTGACTGCCCAGCAACTTGGTGCAGTAAACTGGGTGCTGCTTGCTGTCACATTAAGTAAGGTCAGAGCATGAAAAACAGCAATAGCCTGCAGGTACTGTGATGCCTGTGGTTCAACATGGTAGAAATCATGGGCTCAGCAGGGCAGGGCAGAGAGGGCATCTCTCAGAAACCACAATGTGTAAGTGTAGCTAATGGAGCAAGGTTTGGGCTGACCTCCCCAACCCAGGGAGCTTTGCACCTTGGTGGGCTTGCTTGTCATCACCCTGCCCTGATGGATTTTGCTATTAAAAAGTGACCCTGGCTGTCCTCAGAATAATAGGCAGACAAGAAAAGGACTTTCTCTTCTTGTTATTTGTCTGAATGGAGTTGCAAAGAGCCAACTTCATTGGAGAGGGTGAGGGATGCTATGTGCAGGAAAAATCAAAGCTGGATCTCCATTCCTTTTTCCATGTGTATGTCACAGTCATCACAATGTATCTGCACTGATTAGCAGTGGCTGCTGGCTTTTTGCTCCTCGAGGCTCTGTTCTCAGTGCAGCGGGGTTATCACCACTTTGTGTCCAGCCTGGGTCTTGGGGTGCCCAAGACTGATGATCTCAGCCTTGCTGTAATGAGCTCAGTGTCCCCATTTTCTCCACAGGAGGTTTTGCCACCTTCTCGTCCTGCTTCCCGGGGCTCTGCGAAGGGAAACCAGCTGCCATTCTGCCGATGAGCATCTCCCAGCCATGCTTGCCTGTGGCCAACGTCGGCCCCACGCGTATCCTGCCACATCTCTACCTGGGCTCCCAGAAGGACGTCCTAAACAAGGTACAGCTCTGTCAAAGGGACACGTCTGCCCTGTCCCATCTGGGACCTCAGCCATGCAGAGGGGTGAAGGTATTAAAGACTCCTCTCCTGCCCAGTGGGAAGCCCATGTGTGGTCAGTTGGAGCCTACCGTGAGGCTGAAGGAAGGGAGTGCAGAGCATGGCAGAACTGAGGAGGGTGGTCACAGGAAGAGTTGTCTTACACTGATGAGCTCTGGGGTGATCAAACTCTTCCCAAGTGCCTGTAGCAAACTCAGAGGCAGGAGGAGCATGTCCTCCAGGAAAAAATGTGGGCTTGGAGGAGGAGTTACCGCAGCTGGAGGGAGATGTGGGACAGGAGCCAGCTTTGCACCCACCTGCCTTACCAGCCAGGCTGCCAGATAACACCAATTTCAGCAATCCTGTGATTCCCTTGGGAGCCAGAGGGAGTAGGAGCAAGCTGGGGTATTCAGCCAAAGCAGCATGGGGATGGGCGTCTCTGGCCAGGGACAGGGGCTTATTCAGGAGGCCCAAAAATGAGCAAAGCTTTGCTGTGATGAGAGAGGAGAAAAGAGGAACAATGCCCTTTTAAAGGTGTCGGAAGGACTGTGTTATGATGTCATGCTAGGGAAGGAATTTTGTTTAAAGGAAAAATAATGATGAGAAGAAAGAAAGACGAATTGCTGTTAAATTGCTTCCAGGCATCTGCCTACCATGGGCATGAGGGAGCCAGCCAGGCGTCTTCATCCAGGGCAGGCAAGTAGGAAGAGGGACCACAACACCAGAGGGGTGTTGGAGGCAGAAAGGAGGGAGAGAGAAATTATATACAGGGAGTAGAAGAAAATGAAAGAGAAAAATGCCAAGAATGTAAGCCTGGAAGCTCGGCTGGCTCCATCGAGCCTGCTGGGGCGGGCAGGAACCAGCCGATGGAGAGCCAGGGCCAAAATCCTGGTGCTGAAATCCTGAGGAGCCAATGCCAGGCAGGGATATTGATGTTTTCCTTCCCTCCCCACCTATTTGGAGGGTTTTGTTTATCTTTTGGAACTATGTTTTCTGCCATCCCCACAATGTGGCCACGTGCTGGAGAAGAGAGAAGCATTGCCCATGCGTGGTCTCTGCACCCGACCTTGCTCTGTTACCTGTGGATAGAGCATCTTCTGGCCACTTTGGTTAACGTAGAGTGCTACCAATGATTAACTCCACTCTGTTGGTGGGATGTCTTCTCTCTCCCTCAGCTGATACTTTCACAGCCTTCAGCCAGAGATTTTGCTGATTTCCATTCTCGTATCTTCCTATTCCTCTCATACTGGGGTTCTTGGTTTTTCCCCTCTGAAACCCCTTCCAGGTGTCTTTGGCCCTGCTTACTTTTACTTGGACCAAAATAAAGATCTGCTGAGGTTCAAACCTGTGTCATCTAAATAGACACAACCTTCTCAGCTGGTGTCTGCTGTATTATCATCAACTAGGCCAAGGCAGCAGTAGGAGACCCACAGGAGAAAATATTGGGATGGGAAAAGGCAGGGAGTGTGCATGGCAAGACAGATCTTCAGCACTTGGTGCTGGCTGAACTCAGCTGATCACTTGATGGCTTGTTTCCCACCAGGATTTGATGACGCAGAACGGGATAAGCTATGTCCTAAACGCCAGCAACTCCTGTCCCAAGCCAGACTTCATCTGTGATAGTCACTTCATGCGCATTCCTGTCAATGACAACTACTGTGAGAAGCTGCTTCCCTGGCTGGACAAGTCCATTGAATTCATTGGTGAGCTTTTCTTACAAGGGTTGCAGACTCTCTGGTTCTCAGCCTTCACAACCTGAACTGTTATCCTGTCCTCCATGGTCTTCCTCCCAGCAACCGTTGTCCTTTCACACAAAGGGGCTGAGGGTTGGGGAGGGAGGATAGAGTCACTTTGCTCACCATCTCTGTTCTCTGTTTCCTCTACTGTACTCCAGACAAAGCCAAGGTGTCCAGCTGCCAGGTGATTGTGCACTGCTTGGCTGGGATCTCCCGGTCAGCCACCATCGCCATCGCCTACATCATGAAGACCATGGGTATGTCATCAGACGATGCTTACAGGTGAGTTTTCCCCTGAGGGCAGGGGCGGTTATGCCGGTATGCTTCGCTCCAGGGAAGGAAAGCAGGCTGAGCCCAGAAGGACAGGGTCAGGGCTCCTTCAACCTCCATCTTGCCTTGGCTGAGTCCCAGTAAAAACCAAACCAAACCTCCTCTCATAAAGTGCACATAACAAGGAATGGTGGGGAGCGGTAGAAGGGGGTGGGGAGGCAGTCCCAGCTCTGATCCTGGGGCATCCCGAGGCCCCGTGGTTCCCCAAGACCTCTTTCTTTGGAGGGTCTGGTCAGAAGGTTCTGGACAATGCCTTTTCTCCCCAAAGAGGCTGAGAGAGTAGGGGTGACCTACTGAATGACCAAGCACCAACTGGGGCTGTCTGTGTTTCTCGGCAGGTTTGTTAAGGACCGTCGCCCGTCCATCTCGCCCAACTTCAACTTCCTGGGCCAGCTCCTGGAGTATGAAAGGAGCCTGAAGCTCCTGAAGGCCCTAAAGACAAAGGGAGACCGGGGCGAGGGGGATGCCCAGCAGGACCCAGCAGAGGTGGCTGAGGGCAGCCGGCATCCCCTAACACCTACCTCAGAGAAGGCCGAGGACATGCCGAGAAGCACCAGCTCGGTGTCCCCCCACAGTGACCCCGAGTCGCAGGGTGGGACCCCAAAGGTCCTGTCGCCCACCACCCTGCAGCAGGGGCTCAATGGCTTGCACCTCTCCTCCGAGCGCATCCAGGACACCAACCGCCTGAAACGCTCCTTCTCCCTGGACATCAAGTCTGCCTACTCTCCCAGCCTGAGGCAGGACCCCCCTGGACCCCCTGGACCCGGGGAAGCCCCCAAACTCTGCAAGCTGGACAGCCCCTCGGGCCCTGGCAGTCTCAGCCCCTTCTCCCCAGGGGCAGAGAGCCCTGACCGGCCAGCGGGGCCTGAGCTCCTGCTGGAGGCCAAGGTGAGGCAGCGGCGGAAAGCACCGGCACCCGGCGGGCTCGCCAGCCCACGGGCTCAGCCTCAACGTTGGCGGGACCTGCGCCACACGCAAGAGCCCCGGCGCTGAGGACGGGCTGCCACCACGGCTCGGCCAGCCGCCCCACCACACCCGGCACCACCACCGCCACTGCTGCCTGGAGTGGGGTGCACCTGGAGTCCCCAGCACTCCCTCCGGCGAGGCTGGCTGGTACTTTGGCAAAGGACTCTGTGGTGCGGCGGCAGCGGCGGGGAAGCCTGTTTCCCACACTGGCCCGTATCCGCCGCCGTTCGGCTGCGGCGGGGGGCGGGGCTGTGAGATCAGACTGAGGGACAAGGCGCGGGCCGAGCCGCGGGACGGGCGGCACAGCTGGCATGAGGAGGCCGGCGCTGAGAAGCAATTCAAGCGGAGGAGCTGCCAGATGGAATTCGAGGAGACCATGTCTGAGGGCAGGGCTCGTGAAGAGCTGGGCAAAATCAGCAAACAGTCCAGCTTTTCAGGCAGCATGGAGATCATCGAGGTGTCCTGACACTCACCTGGGGCACCTGGAGAGATGGGTTGGGGACAGGGCGGGGGGATATTTAAGCTGGGGGGAACAGGGGAGGGGGTGGTGAGGTGGGGTGTATTTATACTTGCGCGTGCATTTTCGGGAGCGCAAGCGCTGAAACCGAAGCAAAGGTGGATGAGTCTTTCCAAAGTCGGGAAACATAATGGCGGATGCTTAGCGTCCCTCCCTTCTGCACTCACCTCGGTCCTTCCCTCCCATCCGCAGGGGGTCCCAGCCCTCAGAGACCTGCACTCAAAGTTTGGGCATAAAACTCAAGTGGGAAGAGACAGGGGTGGCAATTTTGGCTGTGGGGACGGGGCACAGCATTTGGAGGGGGGACCACAACTGCCCCTTCCTGGCGACCTGGTGCACTAAGCATGCTCCCTTGTGTTTCTCTGGCTAAGTATCCTAAAAATGCTGCACTGAAGCAGCCCTATACATATATAAATATATATTATATATAATATAAAGAAAAAAAACCCGAAAACACACACACGAAAGAAAAGGTAAATGGTTTTACTGCGATTTTTATTGATACGTAAATAATATTTCAATTTTTTTGTTTTGTTTTTAATTTATTGAAGCTGTTCATTCTGGCAATGATTTGCAGACAATGTGGGGCGGTACTTTCAGCTCTATTTTTACTGTGTATGGTATTTAAATCTGAAATACGAGTTTCTAAGCAATATCCGAGGCCTGTGGCTCCTTCTGTAGTTCATATCCAAGACATAGATTTCCCCCCTTCCCTCTGGGCACACCAACAAGGGGACAGGAGACTCTTTTGGACACTTTTTCTAGAAATGAACAAGTAAACAAGCAGACCATAAAACCTTCTTACAACACAAACTGAGCCAGAAAACTCTTCTGGAAGCTGCTGCCTCTTCTTCAGACCTTGGTCTCTGTTTGCTTCTCCTCATCTCCATCTATTACTGCCATCCTAGGCATCATCCCATCCCATACATTGTCCCCATCCTGGTCGTCACTCCATCCCAGCCATGCCTCGCTCCCCTCCCCTCCCTTGGGCTGCCCATCCTCACTGGAGTGGGCGAGGAGGGAGTCACCTGAAATGGATAGAAGGCTGTAAGGTGTCATTTCCAGCTGCCTGGGGAAGGCATTGGAAGGTGCCACAGTGGAGGCAGGGAGGCTGGTGGTAGTTGGGATTTCTTGTTGGGAGGTGTGTTGCCTGCCTGCTCCAGCCCCTCAGCTCCCCCTCGCCTCAGCCACCTTGCTTGGGAGCCACGGGCACTGCTTTCCCTTTGGAAGCACTGGTTTTTCAGGCTTTCCTGCATCCTTTGTTTCACATCTGAGAAACTCAAGGGGGGTGTGTTTACAGGCGCTGGGGCTCCCCTGGTCCTGTTCCCCTCCACGCTGGCTCCCCTCTTTCCAGCAGATGATATGCTGTCCAGACACAAAGCTCTGCAAGCACATGGCAGGGCACAACTGACTTATTTTCAGAGGTGGTTGGCTGCTTCCTCCCATCTGGTGGGAAGCCAGGCTCCTGCCCCCAAACCCCAATGTCAGGATTGCTGAGAAGCTGCTTTCTGAAGCTGGAGGCACTGAGCTGCCTCCACTGCAAAGCACATCTTTCCCTGTGGCTGTCTTTGCTTTCTCCCTTCTCGCACTAGTTTGCAAAGCTAATACCTCAGGGGTCTGTGTTTGTGCATGTCTGTGTCCTGTGTCATCCTTGGAGTGTTGGTTTGTTTTCTTTTCTGGGTCCACATGGTTTCTCTCCCTTTCCCTTGTTCCTCCTCGTGTCATTCGTTTCTATCTTTAAATCAAACTACCCGTGACAAAACCAAATGATCTCAGGTTTAAAACTGAACACAAAGCAGAGGCGTGAGAAGCTGCAATCATGCAAGGAGGGGCTGCTCACTTCAGCTCATTGCTTCCTCAACCACCTCTGTGTTTGCAGTTGAGGCAAGTCTCCCTGGAGACTCCTCACTCTCTTCGGGCTGGCTTTGGTTTTTCTGGTTTTCCATGGAGCTGTTTGGTGAGATGCTGGGGACCCCCACGTGCTCCTGCCTGGTTCCCTGAGGTGTGGCGGGGAGGGATGGGGGTGGCTGGAGAGCCAAGGACCACCTGCCTCTCTCCCCACATCACTTTTGATGAGGGTGAGAGATCTCAGTCAGTCCTCAAAAGCCTACCACCACCCATCTTTGCCTCCAACAACCACCTCAAACCTGCTCAGTGTTGCCAACCTGAACATTGCTCCCTTCTGATTATGAAAGGGTGATGACACTATTTTCTAGGCTCCCTTTTTATATTTCAAAAGGCATTTGGGTCCATCCCATGAGTCAGGCAGCTATTTCAGGAGCTCCTCTTGCAGCAGGGTCTCCTAAGTAGGCATTGATGTCAAGTCCAAGGAGGGAGGGTTAAAAGGCTTCATCCTCCTGGTAGCCCACCCACCGGGCATAGTGTTAGTGTCACCTGCCTCCTGGTCCCTCTTCCCCTTCTGCTGCCTCAGTGACAACATCTCTTCCCCAGCATGCCAGTGGTCATTGTCTGCTGATCTCTGCTCCATAGGACTCAGTTCCTGCCCATTCTGTAGCCCTCCAGGGTTGGTGCCAGCATGGACTAACTGAGCTCAGGTCAGGCAAGTTGCTGGCAGGAGCTGGCTAGGTGTAGCTTTGAGCAATGCAGAGGGGGCTAAATGTCTTCCCAAGGGATTTAATAGAAAGAGGACAGTAGGTCAGCACAGCCACGTGGGGACATGAGACAAGCTCTCTGGTGATTCATCCTGTTAGCTGACACTGTGTTACAAGCTCAAAAAAGCAGATGGAGCAAGTCAGGAAGGAGAGGGTGCATGTTGTAAATGAGACCCTGAATATCTGCAAGGAGGCAGATATGTGGTTTGCTTTTTGTCATCTCCACTCTGCCATCACCTGGATGCTCCTCAGACATGCTTGAGGTGTTAGGCACTATGGACTCCTCTCTCCTCTGAAACCAGAACAAAGATAAGTATATTTTAAGATTAGTAGATCATGAATGCCAATAGACATTAATGATCCACCTCTGTAGCCTTATTTTGATGTACTTTGCATTTATCCCTCTCCTTTACATTGGGCATGTGCACTAGAAGCCCTCACATATACAATATTTGAAATCTGTATCCAGAAAATAAGCCTTGCTGGAGCAGCCCTGCCTGAGTGTCTCCTGCCAGTGCTGACCCAAAGCCATCAGGGTCACCAAGTGGCTTGCAATTAACTTAAATTATTTTTTTAGATCAAACTCTGTCTTAGACCACTTTGTCCATGAATCAGAGAGCTGTGAGTTGTCATGAGGATGGATGTGCTGGCTGGTAATCCTCCCCATCATCTGTCAGCCAAGTCTTTTTATAGGCTCTCACAGCCAGATGACCCAACCCAAAGCCTCGGTGGAACCAAACATCACCTTTCCATGCTGGTCTGATAAGAGTGCATTCATTTGTAGGGATCTACAGTGGCAAAGTGCGAGCAGGGGAGAGGAAAGGTCGCTGCTTTCAAGGGAGGAACCAACAAAGCTGTTGAGTGTCCAACAGCAGAGGCAATGAGTGGATGAGCTTTCCATGACATGAAGGATTGAGCAAACTACAGCTCTCCTTAGGACTAGAAAGGACATTGCACCTTTCCTTCCAGCCTATCCCCAGGGCTAAGCATCCCAGACACCTTCCCGGCTGCCTTTTGCAGGGGCTGAGAGAAGCTGGCAGGAGGGCAGTGATTAGGTTGGCAACACTGAGCCAGAGGCTTGGGTCAGAGCAGGCTCGTCCCTGGCCTCAGCAGCAGCAGCATCCCCAGCCCCCGCTGCTTTCCCAGCCCTTCTATTTGTCTGCTTGTTTCTTTGGACATCCATCCCCTTTACATCTGCCCCTTAGGAGACAATGCCCCCCAGAATCCCCTTTTGCTGTCCCCTTTACCCTCCCATCCTTAATACTAATGATAATAAGCTATCAGTGTTGTCATTGCAATCTATGAATGATAGATTTGAGTATTTATGATTATTATTATTATTATGATTATTATGGTTATGATTCTGTACCTTTTTGCTTCTTACTCTTTGTATGTTGCTCTTTGTTTCTCTGTTGTGAATAAAAGCAAGGCCCCATCACACCTTCTCTCTGCTCCCCACAGCCCAGCTGTGGCTGCACTCTGCACAGCTCCTGACTGCCCCAAGCCTAAAAAGGCAAACCCTCGTCAGAGGAGCTGGAGGAAGGTGCTTCCTAAGGATATTAAGGCACCCAAACCTGGAGCAGATCTGTTCTCTTAACTCTTCCCTTCCCTTCCTGCAGCTCCTCTCCCCCATACAGGTGCCTGCTCGTTGATGCAAGAGGCGGGAACCTACTGGCATAAACAACGGAAAATTAAATAGCAAAAGCTTAAAGCTTTTGTAACAGCTTTAAGGGGCATTGTCCAGGCATCCAGATCATGGAGTCAGCTCCCTCCAGGTTGTGGGTCATCTCACCTTCTTCAGCTGGCTGCACCTACAGGCTGCACTTTCACCCACAGGGGCTTCTTGCTCTGGTATCACAGGTGACCTGCAAAGCTGCCCTGCTCAGCTGAGCCTGGGCACGCTGCTTTAGCCGAGTGTCCTGGGCTTTCTTGGCTTGAGTGTCCTCCTCGTGCCAGTCAGCTCCCCTGCCCAGGGACAGTACAGCCTGGGGAGGACATGTGGCCAGTGCTAGAGCAAGCTCAGTGGCAGAGCAGCAGGGAGACATGTGAGTGGCCTCTGGTACCTGGAGGGATTTAGGAAAGGGATGGCTCCCAACGTAGGACTTGATACGGCTTTTATCCAACGCTGATAAATTGGGGTGTCGTAAGCAGACAGAGTCTGCAAAATGGTTTTTTGCACCCATTGCCTGTGCTCCTTGTACAACCCAGAGGTTTCCAGGTGACTGTAAGGTGGAGGAGGAGACACCAGGGGAAGGGAAGAGGAACCCTGTCTGCACTGTGGTACGAAACACTCTCTGTACTGCGCCAGCCCCATGAAGAGTCATTTTAATTTGTGGGGTTTAACTCTGGCCTTCTCCAAGTGGCCCAGGCACAGTTTCTTGTCTCTGTCATGACTTTGCTTTGTCATGGGTTGGGGTCCTTCTCATCACGCTGTGCTGAACACATTTCCAAGGTTGCTCTGAGACCACAATGGAGAGGAGAGAGCTCAGGTCTCACCCCTCTCTCAGGGGACCCTGGTAGACCCCTCTTGGGGTCCTGGTCCAGCATCACCCTTCCTACCTCACCTGCCTTTGGGGCAGCCGTGGACAGGGAGGGAGCAGGCAGGTTCAGACCGTGCCGGAACTGAGCCTCCTCTCCCACCTTCATCCCTGCAGGATCAGACCCTTCTTCAGCAAGCACAACACAGAGAGGGGTCTGCATGCACCCTGGTGTACCAGGGTGTACTTGGGGACTCCCAAGCAGGGAAGAGAGGGTCTGGCCATCAGCCCCACCACGCTCCCTTCCTCGCTGTCCATTCGGCCAGCACCGGCATCGGACCCGGGGAGACACCCTGCCCCTGCCTCGTCTTTATTTATTTATTACCAGAGGCTGTAAACAGCAGTGCTTTTCTACCCTCTACTTTCTTTTCCTTTCTTTTGTATTTTGGAACAACGTGTTGTAATAAATACCCAAATAGGTGTTTTAACAGCTGGTGTCAGCCTTGGTTTATGAGGGTCAGACCTTCTCAGGATGGGGCTGGAGAATCCTCTTTGGGGGTCTGGGGAGGGAGATGGACCTTTGGCTGCACTGATGAGGGCCAGAGCTGGTGGAGAGCTGGACACAGAGCCAGGCCTGGACACAGCCAGACCTGTATCTATGTATAGGGCCCAGCAGCTGAAAGCTGCAGCTGGGCTAATTCAAAGCAGAAGTAAGACTCATGGCTGAGAGAGTAGGGGCATAAAAATTAATTGGGGCATTCATGGGCTCTCAGACTGCAAACGGCCACTCTAGGGACTTCTGAGGGTCCATTGTGGCTCTGAAGCTGTAGAGCATCCCCATTCTAGTGGAAAGGGCTGGCCAAGTCCTGCTCTGGATGGGTATACATGAGTGTAGGGAATGGTACAGAATCAGGGAATGCTGAGCTAAAGAGCACAAAGGCATGGAGTGTTTGCATTGACATTATTCTTGTTATTACTACTATTACCATTATTGTTATTATTTTTCTTCCCAGCTATGTTCTGTTCCCCCCTTCCTCCTGACACGATGGCAGCGTGTAGCTGCATGTTTGCTGCGCACTGCAGCTAAACCGTGTAAACATTCCCCAACCCCCCATGGCCAAATGAGCCATCCTGGCCAACCAGCAGCCCCATTTTGGCTGTCCTCAAGTGGAAGCTGGTGGAGGCACTTCCCCACTCCCCCCTGCAGCAGGTTTTCTTTGGAGGGAGGAGAAGGTGTGAGCAGGCTCCCTGCAGTTCTGGCTCCAGAAAGCCTCAGCACTTATTGACTTAGACGCAGAAGGGACATCCATCCCCACAGCTGCTTTCCACAGGCTGGGCTAAATCCCCTGGTCTTTTATAAATCCACTCCCCTCATCCAGCTGCAATTGCTGAGTCTTTTGTAAAACCTCTTGAAACTACTGCCATCAGCTGCTGCTGGAGTAGAAATGACACTGCCCAGTGTGAAGCTTCAGCCTCCTGTGCGACTGACACCATCGGCAGCTTCATAGAGGCTGTTTGCATGTCCTCCTCTCTCAACTACTTGTTGCCATGCATGACATGGGAAGGGACAATTATTTATTACAGAAACATTAGCACTGCTCCCATCTCCCTCCCCATTTACGTGCTCCTGGCTTAGTTTTTCCAAACCTGCTGCCCCGGAGAAGATGCTGCAGCTGAGTCCCCAGAGCTGACATCTTGGGCAGCTACTTCCACAGGCACAACTCAATCCCCTTGTGTTCTAGAGAGAAATGCCCTCTGGGCCAGGAGACTGGCAGTAGCACCCACGTGGGAGGGAACCCAGTTGAAGCTGCAGGGTGCCTGCTTTTAGCTGGGGCTGGGGCTACAAGTATGCAGAGGCTCTGTCCCCTGGCAGAGTCATCCCTGGGTGTGCAGCTGGCACGGCCTCCTCCCCCTGCCCCAGTGCTGAGGCTGCCTCTCCTCTTGCTCCTTGTGGTTTGCACAGCAGAAACCATTACTGCAACAAGAAACCCAGAATCGTCCTTTTTCCAGCTCTCTGGCTTTTATTGACTCAGAATGGCTGCCAAGCCTATAAATAAATGTTCCTTGAGCTAAATATAGCAGCCACTGAAATAGGCTGCTGGCTATTTATTTAGCTTGTGGCCTCTTTGAAAACTTGCCAGTCTATATTGCCTTTACCTTCATGCTGTCCCACCCCAGGCTACGGCCACCCACCGTGGGGGCATGGCTGAGTCAGCACGGGGAGAAGGGGTCACAAAAAGTCAGCCCCATCTCCTCAGGGTGGAGAGGCAGGGTAACAGGGTCTGGCAGCTGGATGAGCTTCGGCATCCTGCACCCCTGCCCAGAGAGCTAGGGGTCCCCAGGAGGGACATTTGCTGGAGCAGTCGGACAGGGGCTGAGCCAGTCATAAGCCAGTTTCCTCTCCTGAGAAGACATGGGATCTTTTTCCAGCACCAGAGCCTAGAAAAGAGAATCTATCATCTCCCACAGGCTTTGAGGCATTAGATGATGTACATTGCTTTTCCACACTTTGCAGGAGAATAAACACGCCTGGTGCACAGAGTTGCTGTGTGTTAGGACCCTGAAGGCGCTCAGGGGCATGAATTGACCCCCATCCATGTGCCCCTACTAGAGCCAGGACACTCAAACCTGTACCCTGAGCCGTGCTGGGGCTGTGACCTTGCCTCTGGCCCCAGCTGCTGGGTGGTTTTCAGGCAATGCTGCAGGCATGGCCCCTTCCAGCTTGACCCCACTTCATTGCATGTCTGGGAGATGCCATTTGCCACACTGGTGAGATGAGTCCTTACTAAGGCACCACACTCAGGGACTCTCCATGGGATGCATGTTCCTCCAGAGACCTGTTGGTTGTGCATTAATGCAAGAAGGGGTCAGCTTCACCTCTCCAACGCTGATGGAAAACAAGGTGAGGACTGCTTGTGCCGCAGACACTCCTCTACACTCTGAGCCTAACAGAAATAGGATTCTGCTTACCTTGGGCTGTGATGAATTCACTGCAGCTTCGTGCCAGTGAAGGGAAAAACCCCGTCACTCCCTGGAAAGCCACATTCACTCCTGGAGCAATCCAAGACCATTAATAATGTTTAGCACTTACAGAGAGTTTTGCTAAATATGAGCTAATCCTTACAACACCCATGGGAGGGAGAAAAGTAATTATTGTTATTGGGCTTGACTTTTCCTTTTCCATGTACCCTTGCAAATGGGGATCAGCTCTAGTCAAGTCCAGAGAGCTCTGGAAATCAGAGGATAATCCCTCTTGTCCCACTTTGTACAAATAGGAAACCTGGAGCAAAGATGGCAGGTTATTTGCCAAAGGCCACCCAGGAAAGCAGAGTTGGAGCTGAACAAGTGTGTTTGAGAGAAATCCTGCCCCCTAAACCTTCTCCTATGCCACCAGACTATAATTCCACAACTGACAGGGTAATTTTGATCCTCTTGCAGGTCCTCACCTGCAGAATGCCAGAGAGATGCGGATGCTTTGTATCACAGCTTACCTTCCCCTGCACAATGTCACTTCAAAAGGTGGTGAGATCATAGAATTATAGAATATGCTGAGTTGAAAGGGACTCATCAGGATCATCAAGTCCAACTCCTGGCCCTATGCAGGACACCCTAAGAATCACACCATGTACCTGAGAGCATTGTCCAAACACTGTCCATGGCATTAGGTGCTGACAAGGCTCATGAGCATATTGGTTTGGTGTACTCATGCAGTGAGTCACAAAATTCCCACACACGACCCCCTCTTCTGGAAATCCAGCCCCAAGCCTGCAGTCATGTAGATCTCACCATCCTTCAGCCACTGGGAGAGCAGCCCCCATAGCTGTGGCCAGAGCACCACTGGAAGCATGGCAGAAAGATGATGGGATGGTCCCTGGGCTTGTCTCAGCCATGTGGCATTGGAGAAAGGCTGGCTTAGAGAGCTGAAATTCTGCTGGGGTCCCTCCTGGGGTGCAGAGGGTCTAGTTTAGGATGTCCTGGGTGAGAACAGAGACCAAAATGTGGGTGAACTGCCTGCCTGGGTCCTTTGCAGGAAGAAAGGGCAGTTTTAGGGGGTTCCATAACACCTTCAGTTCTCCCTAGTCACACTCCTCAGCTGAAACCCAGGCACTCTGTGTCTGAGTGGAAATACCGTCTGTCAGCGGTACCCAGATGATGTCATTTAGTTTTCCAGGCTTCTGGGCTGAGCCAGCAGCTTGAGCCAGTATGACTGGAGATGCTTTATTTAGAAGGAGCCAAAGTACAACTGAGTCCAGGCCTTTGCAACACCCTCTGCCACCTCCCTTCCCTGCTGATGCAACCCCATCTGCAGCAGAGATGTCAGGCTGCCTCAGAGGAGGTGGTTCTTGGAAGCTCAAAATGGTATCCTGCTGGGCAGGTGGAAAGGGGGGATGCATTAGGGGACAGGTGAGGGTGATGCTTAGTCTGTGCTGTCCAGTGTCCCCAGGACTGGGAACCTCCAGGTACCTCTGGGCAATGTGCACAGCAGAGGAGCGCTTGTCTCCCCAGCTGTGTCTTTTACCTTCCTTAACTCTCTGAGAACCTTGGCCTGAGTTCCCTGCACAGCAGTGGTCACCCTCCTCATCCTCACACTTGCTGTCTCCAGTCTGGGTTACTGCAACCAAGCCTCAGGCTGGCTTTGGGGTCTTTATAGGTGGAAAACAAATGTTTTCACCCACTGACACCCCCTAACCTTCCTCCTCTCCCTCAGCAGCATCTCCTGACAGGAAAGCAGCTAAGAATAGCCCTGCTGCTGGCTCCAGGCTGGTGCTGTTTGCTCAGTGACTCAGAGCTGGCCAGGCAGGCACTTACTCAAAGGGCCCCATTACTCATCTGTCTGCACTGCCCCAAGGATGGGGTTTGTGTCTCTTCTTTAAAGATGTTTTATTTATTTCTTTTTAATAAAGCCACCATCCACAAAGAGAGGTAGTTACCCTGCTGTGGATTTACCACTTAATATGTGTGCCCTGACCCAAAATGTTGCAACCCCTATAGATCACACTGGCAGCCCCTCATATTGCTCCTACTCACTGCCTTGAGCTACATCAGCAGGATCAGGGTAAAAAACCAATATCTCCTAAAATCGCATTTCATGGCACCAGGGTAAGCATGCAAACAAAAATTCTCTCCTCCAGAAACCATGTGTGTTGATTCTGTGCCCAAATCCAGCTGGCCCCTCAGATGCCCACGGCATGACCCAGATGCTCCTTTCTTGTCCCCAGCCCACGTTAATTGCAGCTCTCCTTCCTCTCTGCAGTGTCTCACTGTCCAGTGTGTGCTGCAGTGTCTGCAAAGCGCCTTGGCAAATTAAAACAGGCTTCCATGTAAAAAAGAGGCTTCATTTCCAAACAACAAAAAGGCAGCATCTTCCTCATCTGGTTTGCTCCCTTGAGGCATTCTCTGAGTCACAGCCAGTCATGCTGGGAACAGAGCTGCATCCTGACCAGGGCACATCTGTGTCTGCAAGGCACTGCCATGACAGCGCTGCCACTG